AGCACAGACAGAGGTTGGGCCACACCCATCTGCAGTTCACTGAAACTGAGATGCACTCAGCTCAGGGGCTTCTTAGGCTTGGTCTACACTACCCCCCCTAATTCGAACTAAGGTACGGAACTTCAGCTACGTGAATAACGTAGCTGAAGTTCGAAGTACCTTATTTCGAATTAGTTGAAACTTACCTTGGTCCACACTCGGCAGGCAGGCTCCCCCGTCGACTCCGCGGTACTCCTCTCGGCGAGCTGGAGTACCGCAGTCGACGGCGAGCACTGCCGGGTTCGACTTATCGCGTCCAGACTAGCCGCGATAAGTCGACCCCAGAAGTTCGATTTCCAGCCGTCGAACTTGCCGGTAAGTGTAGCCAAGGCCTAAGACAGATTGATCCCCTATGGGAAGCGAGTCATGACATCAATTCCAATTTTGACCCATCTCCCTATATGTGAGAAAGCTGCTAGTATGGAGGGCTGAGCCAGCTGTCCTAATGCCTGGTTCCTCAACTGTAGCTACAGCTCTTAGTACTCATGAATGCAGAGACTGAGAGAAATGGAGAGTTCCAACCATTGTCATTTTAGTATCTTATTGTTCCTCTCTGTCTTAATGGATTCTAGCAGCTTCTTAATTGGCTCCAGGTGTCCTAATTAGCCTGCCTGCCTTAATTTGTTCCAGCAACTTCCTGATTGTTCTGGAACTGCCCCTGTTACCTTACCCAGGGAAAAGGGACCTGCTTAATCTGGGGCTAATGTCTCTGCCATCAATCACTCTCCTGTAGCCCTCTGGCCCGACCCTGTCACAGTACGTAATCCACCCTCCCCGGAGGTGGTAGCTTGGTCAATGGGAGAATGCTTCCTCTGGCCTGGCACGGTCTCCACCAGGGATTAGATCAGTTTAACTCTGCCCCTCGGGGGTGGATTTTTCACATCCCTGAGTGACGTAGTTAGGCCAACTTCGTTTTCTAGACCAGGCGTCGTTAAAGTGTTTATCTGTGATGTCAGGGGATGCCGCAGGATTTAGCCACACACTGAGGGCATGGGCTCCACGTGCAGACGTACAGCGCTGTGAGTTAAACCCGCCTTCGGAGAACGCAGTAGGGAAAGTCTGTCCACACTGACGGCTGCCAGCGCACTGGCGTGGCCACATTTGCAGCACTTGCAGCGGCATTGGGAGTGGTGCATTGTGGTAGCTATCCCAGCATGCAAGTGGCTGCAACGTGCTTTTCAAATGGGGTGGGAGAGGGTGACCGGATGTCCCGATTTTATAGGGACAGTCCTGATTTTTTGGGCTCTTTTTCTTAGATAGGCCCCTATTACCCTCCTCCCCCACCCCGTCCTGATTTTTCACATTTGTGGTCTGGTCACCCTAGGGTGGGGAGGGGTGGAGCGTGACAGGGAGTGTGTTGTGTGTATGTGGGGGGAGAGAGATTGGGTTTTGGGGGGGCTGAGAGCATGTCAGCATGCTGTCTTGTAAGTTCAGACAGCTGCAGACACCCCACCCCCCCGCCGCCCCCGTCTCTCTCTCTCACACACAGGAATGGTTTGCTTTGATATCCGCCATCCTGCAACGATGCCAAAACAACAACAAGAGTGGCCACTTGACTGCAGGGGATTATGGGACGTTTCCGGAGGCCAATCAGAGCGCAGTAATGCAACACCTCGTCCGCACTGACGCCCGGGCGTCTCGCCCCGAGGCGCACCAAGCGTTATGCTTCTCGCTGAGGTGGAGAAATATTTCGGCGTTGAAATATTCAAACAGCTCCATGGGGATGGATCTGCCTAGTTCAAGTTTTGGGGTTGGGGATTCTGACTAAATGGATAGACGCTGCTTCGGGGCCCTGTTTTAGGATTTATAAGGTTTTAGTATCTGTGGTATGAATGGGAAGATTGGATTGAATTGATGACTAGAATCCAATTCCATATCATTATGGACACATTCATTTAGTGAGTTGACCTTAATGTCATACCTCAAACGATAGTTCTTTTCGTGGCGTTTTAGCTGTTCAGCCTTCATGATGTGGGTTCTTGGTTTTATTTGTCTCTTCATTTAATGAAATGTCTCCAGTCATTTTTTTCTCACGCAGCACAGGTTAGAGCCATAGAGGATGTGGATGGAGATCAGATGGTCCAGGTCAGAACTTAACCATCTCCCTTTGGTCCGGGTCGGCCTTAGAGAAAATGGCACCCTGGGCGAACTTGCATTTTGGTGCCCCTGTGGGTGTGGGCCCCCCCCCCGTTTTCCCCCAAGGGCTCCCCACCATCCCTTCCCCCATAATCTCTGCACTGTGCCCCCTTTGCTCCTACCCCCTGCATTCCCCTCCTGCACCCATGTGGGGAACCTGACCTGGGTGCACAAAGCAGCTGGCGTTGCTCCTCGCTCCCCCACTGGATGCTGCTCCTCCGCCTCATGCAGCCCTGGGGGGCTGGGAGAGGGGAGCAAGGAGCGACGTCAGGGCTTCCTGCACCCAGGTCACTTTCCCTGTGGGCTGCGTAAGGGGAGGGCAGGAGAGCAGCAGCTCCTGGTGCCTCAGCACAACCCAGGTGGGGAAGTGACCTGGATGCAGGGAGCCCTGGTGTGTGTGTTGGGGGGACTCTGTGTGTGTGTGTGTGTGTGTGTTGAGGGGAGGGTGTGAAGGTGTGTGTGTGTTGAGGGGAGGGTGTGAAGGTGTGTGTGTGTGTTGAAGGGAGGGTGTGTAGGAGTGTGTGTGTGTGTTGAAGGGAGGGTGTGAAGGAATGTGTGCGTGTGTTGAGAGGAGGATATGAAGGAGTGTGTGTGTGTTGAAGGGAGGGTGTGTAGGAATGTGTGTATGTGTGTGTTGAAGTGACCTTGTGAAGGTGTGTGTATGTGTGTGAAGGGGAGTGTGTGTGTGTGTGTGTTGAAGGGAGTGTGTGAAGGGGAGTGTGTGTGTGTGTGTGTGTGTTGAAGGGAGTGTGTGAAGGAGTGTGTGTTGAGGGGAGGGTGGGAAGGGGAGTGTGTGTGTGTTGGGGGACGGTGTGAAGGAGAGTGTGTGTGTGTGTGTGTTGAGGGGAGGATATGAAGGGGTGTGTGTGTGTGAAGGGGAATGTGTGTGTGTGTGTGTGTGTGTGCCTGAGTGAGTGAGTGAGCGCACTGTCTCTTTAAGAAAGCTCTCCAAGTCAGGACCCTGAACTAGGCTGGGTCAGACACAAGCACCTGCTGGCAGCTCTAGCCCCAGAGCCACAGCCCCACACACAGATTCCCCCTGTCCCGTCACCCCAGCTCAGTGGAAACCGGGTACCCAGGTGCAGGGGGGAGGGGGACACCCCACCATCAGCCCCCTCCCTCCCCGAGCAGTCAGGAGGACGCTCCCAGTCCGGAGTGGCCAGGGGCAACTCCAGGGACGAACAGAGGAGGGGCCCCCCTGCTCCGGAGCACTCACCCGGCTCCCACATCCGGTTGTCCAACGGCCCCCTGCAGCTCGGGTCTCTCCCCCCGCCTCCCGTGCCGCCTCCGTCAGCTCAGCTGGGAATCCAAACCCTGCGCACGGCGCCCCCTTGGGTGGGGGCCCCTATAGCCCACCCCAAGGCTCACAAGGCAGCGGCTGCGGAGGAAGCTCCAGCCGGACCGTGGGTATCTCAGAGCATTGAGGAGAAAAAAGGAGATGGGAGCCACCAGTCTCTGTGACAGACTCATTGAGTCCATTTGGCTGTTAACAGAGCAGTGGCGGCTTCAGGTCCCCCCCCGTGGAGATTTTCAGGAATGAGATTTGGGGGGATTTCAACGACAAGAAGAAAATCTCCCCTGTTCCTGCCTAGCCACATTGGTCTCCTTTTCCCTTCGTGTTCCTCCTGCCTCAGCCTCTCTTCTTTGCTGGTGGGAAGATGCAGAAGCAAGACCCCGTCTGTCCGAGACACAGGGTCTGTACCCAACAGCGTGGGGGGATGAAGGCATGGGCTGTAGGTCACTCTTAAAAATTGATAATGGGTGTGTGTGTGTCTGTTAGGGGAGATCAAAGGAGAACTGACAGTGGGGCTATCAGATTCCCCCCACAGATTCGTAGGACTCCCTCCAGCACACTTTCTTCACCCATCTCTTGGAGGAACAAGTAGGAATTGCCTTTGGGAAGATCCCGCTTTTAATAACTCAGGTGTGTTGGGATTTTTCTCTAAGACCTTTTCCACTCGGTTCCCAAGAAATTAGCTCAAATCCAGACTTGTCATGGAGGGGGTTTTTGACTATTATTTTTAATTTTTACGGGCATACAGCAATGCGGCGCTGAGGTGGTCAGGCTATATTTCAACACCGATTCCATTTTATACACGTTTGCAACACCTACAAATGGTCGATTCATTCACAACCCCACTTCTATTTCTTCCACAGCTGTCTGATAAAGGGCAGCATTTCCCTTCTCATGGGATTATCTAGGAGATATTTCCTGTAGGGCCTGCATTAAAAAGCCTTTGGGAACCAAATAGATGGGCATTTTGCCTAGTTCCACGTCACTTACTGTGAAACTCTCTCCTCAGATCATAGGGGACAATATTGTCAAGTGAAATTCCAGAGCAGGGGCTATCTGATGATTTCAGAGTCAGGACAAGACATTCTCCCATCACATTCTCCTCTGATCCATTCAAGCCTGCTTCACTCAGCCCTGTCTCAATATTGAGTTATGTTATTTACAAAATTTTTAGCATCCTCATAATGGGGGGAAAAAACAGCCACCTTTACAGAAATGGCTTTGCCAATAGATGGAAACGGATTTTAAACTCCAAATGATCACAGTGTTTAGAATCCATTTGAACTCCCCTCCCAGGTCTTCCACACTTTCATCTCCAGCCATAGTGATTCTGATTTCGGATTAAACAAGTCAAAGCGTCATCTCCAAGCACAGACAGCTGAGAACACTGCATCACATGACACTCTGAGAGGTGGAAGGACAGAATGTGAAGAAGATAAACTCTGCCTGGCTCAGACAGAAGGTAACAGTTCTGCAGTGATGGGGAAGGAGGGAATCTCTGAGTCACCCCGTATCCTTCCAGTGTCACAGAAGCTGAAATGACACTTTTCCCCCTGCCCCTGCTTCTCTTCATTTAAAATTCATTTAAATATAATGAAAAAAAGTTCCCAATATAACTGCTCTTCAGCACAACCCAGAGCAACGCGAGAACAACTGGGAATGATACAAGCTACATCATTGGTGACTGTAACGGTAACTTTGCAATAGGAGGAAGGGTATAAATACGATGCTCCCAGTTTTGTGGAAAAAGGGACACACTCCCATTACTCATGGGACAATGGAGGTGACAGACAGGACGATCAGGTCCACGCCATAACAGGGCAAACCGCAAAAGGCAAAAATGGGCAACTCGCCTGGACAGACTGAGGGATAACGGTGCTGCGAATACTTCAAGCAGCCTTAATGGTTACCACATGGGAACTAGCAAAACTAGTAATAAGGTTAAATTTTTGTCATGGGTATTTTTAGTAAGTCACAGACAGGACACGGGCAATAAACAAAAATGCAGAGAAACCTGTGACCTGTCCTTGTCTTTCACTGAAAATACCCTGGTGGGGGGAATAACAAATGGAGCCCCACAGGGGGATGACTGTTAGCTGCAGTTCTTGCTCTGGTGGCTGACTTAGCCCAGCCACCACTCTGGCTCTTTGGGTCGCTCTGGCCTTATGGGCTTACCACCGGGATGGTGATGGTTCCTGCTCTGGCCCCGGGGGAGGAGGGGGGGCACTGCTTCAGTGTTGGGGGCTGACAGCTGCTGAAATGGAGGTCCATTCAAATCACAGAATCAATTACCTCTGTGACAGAATTGGATACATAACCATTAAAAAAAACAACGTGTTGGTCACTCTAGAGGTTTGTATGGTGTTTAGCTCCCTTGCAAACTTTCTGATGTTTAAGAAGGGCTGAGCGATCAGTCAAGCTTTTCCCACACTCACAGCATTCGGAGGGTGTCTCTGCTGTGTGGATCCTCTGATGTGTAGAAAGTTGTGAGCTCTGAGTGAAGCTTTTCCCACACTCACAACACTGGTAGGGCCTCTCCCCTTTGTGGATTCTCCGATGTGCAATGAGGTTTGAGCTCTGAGTGAAGCATTTCCTGCACTCACTGCATTCATAGGGTTTCTCACCTGTGTGGATTCTCTGATGCGTAATAAGAGCTGAGTTGTCAGTGAAGCCTTTCCCGCACTCACAGCATTCATAGGGCTTTTCCTTTGTGTGGATTCTCTGATGCGCAATAAGGTTTGAGCTCCGCGTGAAGCTTTTCCCGCACTCCCCGCATTCGTAGGGTTTCTCGTCTGCGTGGATTCTCTGGTGTGCAATGAGGTTTGAGTTCTGAGTGAAGGTTTTCCCGCACTCGCCGCATTCATAGGGTCTCTCGCCCGTGTGGACTCTCTGATGCGTGGTGAGGTCTGAGCTCCGAGTGAAGCTTTTCCCACATTCGCGGCATACGTAGGGTCTCTCTCCCGTGTGGATTCTCTGGTGTTGAAGAAAGGCTGAGCTGTCACTGAAGTTTGTCCCGCACTCGCAGCACTCATAGGGTCTCTCTCCCGTGTGGATTCTATAATGTGTAATAAGCGCTGAGCAGACAGTGAAGCTTTTCCCGCACTCGCAGCATTCATAGGGCTTCTCCCCTGTGTGGATTCTTTGATGTGTGATAAGGGCTGAGCTGGCCGTGAAGCTTTTCCCGCACTCACAGCACTGATAGGGCTTCTCCCCGGTGTGGATTCTCTGATGCGTAGTAAGTTCTGAGCTGTGAGTGAATCTTTTCCCGCACTCGCCGCATTCGTAGGGTTTCTCCCCTGTGTGGAGTCTCTGGTGCACAAGAAGGTTTGAGTTGTGAGTGAATCTTTTCCCGCACTCGCTACATTCGTAGGGTTTCTCCCCTGTGTGGATCCTCTGATGTCTAATGAGGTTTGAGTTCTGAGTGAAGGTTTTCCCGCACTCGCTGCATTCAAAAGGTTTCTCACCTGTATGAATTCTCTGATGTTTAATAAGGGCTGAGCAGCAACTAAAGGTTTTCCCGCACTCAGTACATGTATTTTTTCTCTTTCCCCTGAGGATTTCCTGCTGGGCTGTGGTTTCCTTGAGGTCCTTCTGAGTTCCCCGACAGTAAATTAATGTACCCGATTTCTCCCCTGGCTGGTTTCCCTGCTCTCTCTCTGGTCTGTGCTGAATCTCACAGGATTTTCCCTGCTCGTGACTCCTGGACTCATCCCCTTTCGATCTTTGCGATAATGCTCCGTGTTTATCCACTCGCTCAGCATCTTCCTGCTGAGACTTCTGCTCCTTAGTGTCAGGTAGCATCGCGTCACCTGCCATGATAGAGACAGAGACAGAAACCTCAAACAGGGATGGAAAAGGGAAGAGCAAACCAAAAAAAGTGCTGGAGAGAGGTCAAATAAATATCAGGAACTGAACTCCCCTCAAACTCTTCCCCCAAATGGGAGAGAGGAGGTGATTAATTCAGCCTTCACATCCCATCCAAATTCTCAGTGGGAAGGGAGAAAGCTAATGCCAGGTGTCAGCTAAAATCTGTAGGAAGCCCTGTGCTATCTCTGCACTGAGGATACCACATCTGCTGGGGACAATCCTGAACTAAGAGAGCTCCCAAGGTCTTTGTAGGGGATCCCAGATGTTTATTTCAGCCACTTACAGACTCTGAGTTGGTTTAATGTGTCTTTGTCTGTGCAGGCAGCTCTCAGGATCTCTCTTTCCTCTGAATCCTGGATGTCTGTGACCCACGGTTCTTCCCCCTGTTCCAGCTGGGAGATCACATCAGGTTTGGAAACTGGAAACCCTGCTCAGATAAAAGGAAAAAAATGAGATTAGGGAAATTCATAAGACTTTGTCATAAAAAATTGTCTATTAATTTAACTCCAGTCCTTCATAAACCAATAAAATCCCAGGGCCAGCTCCCCAGGTCCTCAAAGATGGAGAACACTGATGAGGAGGGACTGAACTACCCACATATCTGCTGAGAACTCACACAGATAGACACATATATTCACTATTTTACAAAATTATATTTAGTACAAAGTATGCCTTTTTGAGGTTTCATTTAAAATTCATAATCCACTGAACATTATTGTCCTGTTATAATAAGTGTAGCAACACTATGTATGTAAAATTATGAGATTTTAATGTATGATATTCCTGAAAATATGTTACAATTCTGGGGAACACCCACAGACCTGTTCCTCAGAGAGCAAGACTATCACTTGGTTAAATGGCTGTTCTCTGGTAGTGGGGAGGTGTGAACAAGAAATTTACTTTCCATTATCAGGGCTGCTTGAAGTTCACATCCACAACAGACAGCTAGTCATCATGACAGCTAAAAAGTGAAGATGTTTCCAGTACAAAGTGATGAAGAAATTTGAGACTCTCTCCCCCCACCCCCTTTTTTTCTCTGCTCACAAAATCAACAACTCCTGAAGACTTGAGCTTGTGGGGATGGGGATTCCTGGCTGATAGGAAACCCAGCCTGTCACAAGATATGGTGAGAGAAAGACATTTGCTTTTAATCCGTTTTAGCTTGTTAAGTTACAAGTTACTGTGATGGGTCATTGTTAGTCTCTAAGGTGCCACAAGTACTCCTGTTCTTTTTGTGATGGGTTGGATCACAGAAACCCCCTGGGGGCTGCCAACTGATGTGCCAAGACTACTTCTGCCCCTGCTTTCCCTGCCAGCTCGGGACTCCAGCACCCTGTCTTGCTGAGCCAGAGACGCCCGTCTGCTCCAACACAGACCGAGCGTCTGAACCATGTGCCCCAAAGCTGCAGACTTAACTGAAAACAGCTCACAGAAGTGTGTTTGTCTTTAACACTCAGATGCCCAACTCCCAATGAGGTCTAAACCCTGTTGCCTATAGCTGTCCAGCTGGAGTCAGAGTCCCAGGGAGTTACCTGTGCTGAGGAGCCCGGAGGACTGAAGCTCCAGGAAGCATGGGAGGAAGTGGCTGAGGGAGGTGGAGTGAGTGGTATCTCCCACCCATGTAAGGTCAGCATGTTGCGGCTGGATTCCCCGCTGACCCAGTGGCAGACCACTCCGCCACTGTTAGGGCCCTTGGCTGGAACCCGGTTGGGTCGGGTGAGCCCGGGTCCCCCTACCCTACCTGCCACCCCCACTTTGGCGGCAGCCCCCAGATCTGGCCACACGGCCATGCAGCCTTGCACTCGAGAGCTGCTGTACTGACTCTGGCCACTAGGCCATGCAGTCCTGCACTGGAGGGCGGCCATATTGTCTCAGGCCATTACGCCACGCAGGGACAGCCACAGCTCCTAACATTGCTACAGAGCTGGTGAAGATTTTCGCTCTAGTCGGGATATTCAAGGAAATCTTGACCTATCAAGGCACGAATGTGTCCTCCAAATTAACAGCGGCGTTGCGCCACCTCCTGAATATTTGAACTCTCAGGACGTTAGTATATCACCCTCAAACAGATGGCTTAGTTGAGCGTTTTAATGGCACTCTGAAGTCAATGCTGTGCACATTTGTAGAGGACAATCCCCGTCATTGGGACTCACTCCTGTCCGCCCTACTCTTCGCCATATGGGAGGTTCCCCAAGCCTCAGCTGGATTCTCCTCTTTTGAGCTCCTCTGTGGGAGGCAACCTCGAGCTCCTGAGAGAAGACTGGAAGACGCAAGAGACATGGGTCCTAGGGACTGCCCAATATCTTTTACGACTCCGAGAGCAACTCTGGGCCTTGGGAGCCCTCACACAGGAAACCCTGATACACCCAGGAATCACTAGGAGGGTGGTGAAGCACTGGAATGGGTTACCTGGGGTGTGTGTGGAATCTCCTTCCTTAGAGGTTTTTTAAGGCCCGGCTTGACAAAGCCCTGGCTGGGATGATTTAGTTGGGGTTGGTCCTGCTTTGAGCAGGGAGTTGGACTAGATACCTCCTGAGGTTCCTTCCAACCCTAATCTTCTATGATTCTTTGAGTGTGTCTATCACTTCCCTGTTGAGAATATTTTAAAGTGCTGTAAAATCCACAGGCACTCTCTAACACGGTCTACTCTTTAAAGTTTTGCCAGGATAGCTCTGTTGCTCAGAGCTGTACAAAATCACACTCACTACCCCATCCAACAGAACGACGTTGGCAAAAGATTCAATATAGAGACAGTTAAGGTGGCAAACTGTCCATTGCAAAACATAAAGGAAACTAAATACCCAGAAACAATTTTACTTCAGGGTTAAGGTTGCCCAGTGCTGCCTCCTGCCTTTGACCATATGGATGGTGCTAAACTTAAACCTCTGAAAACCAGAAAATGAACAGTAAATGTACACACCATCCCTGCATTGCCACCTTAACTCTGCCCACAACCTTGCAGCTGGTAAGAGCCACAGGGAATGGTTCTCTAAGGGTGGTGCAAAGATTAACAAACTATCCCAGCTTGGAAGCTTCTTTTCTTTATGCGGGACCCAAACCCCAGTTTTACTTTAAGAAAGAGAAGATATTTGACATTGTGCTAAACTGCTCCTGTGCTCTGTTCCCACAGTGTTGTATAGCGGGGGAGGGGACAGTGTTAGTATGGGTGTCGCTGGGGTGATGCTGAAACAGGGCAGAGTACGAGTTGCATTGTGAGGGTGACGTGAACCTTATTTCGCCATTTCCCCTTCCAAGAACCGAGGGGACGGGAATCCTTACCCAGCGAGGTCACATTCTCATAGTTCTCCTGCATGACGGCTCCGTAGAGAGCTCTCTGAGCGGGGCCCAGCAGAGCCCACTCTTCCCTGGTGAAATACACAGCCACCTCCTCGAAGGTCACCGGCCCCTGAAAGAGCAAGAGTCCAACACTCAGTACCTGCTGCCCCACTCACAGCCCCACTGTTTGTGGGGGAGAGGAGCCCATCAAATGGAAGCTCTAGATGGCTCGCAGTCTACAAAGCTCCACCCCACCCCCACCCCGCTCAGAGCATCCAGGAACCACCAGGGTGAGGGGACAGAGAGAGCCCCTTGTCTCTCCCAGCAGAGCCATCACACATACTAGCCACAGACTGATACAGGAGGTGGAGCCCCTAGCAGGGTGCAGGGAGAGCTCCGGGGAAGGAAGCCCAACACGCTCCTTGTTGTGAGGAGTTGGATATAAGAAGAGAGACATGTCCCCTATGCCTCACGCGTGGGTGCCCCCTTCATCTCTCATAGTAGCCAGTGGTTAGTTGGGTCAGGCTCCAGAACTATGAGTCTGGTCCGTTTTCCCAGCCCCATCTAGGTGGGTTGTTTCCTGTTCTATAAATTAGAGCATTTCCACCTCTGAACCTCATGGGTCTGTTCCTAGAACCTAACCCACATATTAAACAGACCCCAGCAGCTTTACCACCCCCTGTCCTCCTCCCTTTCTCTACCCTGTGCATTTCCTGCCCCCCTCCAACCTCCAAACCAGATCACAGCGGAGGCTGCAGCATCTGACCCAGGAAGCTGAACTCCCATATCCTGAGCAGAGGGGGACAGAGCGTTTGAGCAGCTTCCCTCCTTTAGCAACAACCAGAACTCTGTGGGGAGAGCAGCTAATGAAACCACCTCACCACAGGGACTGGTGCTGATCTCATTTGCCCAACTGTTCGTCTGGAGTCACTCCTTGTCTTTCCTTGCCATGACTCCGGATTAACACTGGTCTCAATGACACCAGAAGCACAGTTCAGAAAGGATGAGGTCAGAATCCTTTTCAGCAGATCACTGTGTGGGACTCCTAACCCCCTTCCCACCTCCCTCACCTCCAGATCTAGGACAAGGACTCAGGAAGAATTTTCCCTACAGAACCGGAAGTTCCTGCAGTTTTCCAGAGGGAAGAGAAGCAAAAATCTGCTGGTGGTTTCACCTCTCAGTGTCTGATAAGTGGATAGAAAGTTACCACCACCCCCTGCCGGCCATTCACACAGGCAAAGGGAGCCCAGGGGGGTGCATCTTTAGTAGGAGAATGGAGGGCCAAAATATTGAAGACATGTAAATAATGGCCACCATGGATCCACCCCACAGGTGGCTGCATCTTAGCTCTGTGGGAAGTGACCCCTGATAAAGACAATTTGTCATGGGGTTTGGGAAACTTCTGGACCCACACTGCACTCAGAGTGACCCCCTCATCCTGTGCCAGCTGGAGAAAAGAAAAGGGTCCAGCCAACTCTCCTGTTACCAGCTGGGACCCACTGATCCCCCAAACAGGGGGAGGCCTCTGGCTTTGATGTCTATTGAATATGTAGCTAGTCTCTTTCATCGGCAAACATTTTAACAGGGCAAAACTAGTAATAGAGAACTAGAGAGAAAGTGGGGCAAATGTTTAGGGTATTTTATATCAATCTTTGAGATCTGCAGAGAAAATGTGTCACAAACTACACAATTGATAACACAAGAGAAAAACACCAAGGTCTGAGGGGATTTTATATTGCTATTAACCAACTAGTGGTAAAGGGGGACTGTTGGACTGGATTTTATATGACTGTCCAATACATAAACAGAAAGTGATGGCTCCCCCCCCCCATCATTCACACAGGCCACAGGGAGCCCTGGGGGGACCAGTTTGAAGGGGGCTGGGGAGGGGGAGCTGGAAGGTCCCTGGATGAGGGAAGGGGGCAGCAGTGGGGGATGGGCAGGTGGCTGGGGGCGACCGTGTTGGCAGTTCGGGGGATTGTGTAACGGGGTCTGGGCCATCCCCATGGGGGACAAGTGCTCCCCCTTCCCTGCCCTGGCAGAGAACAGCCCCCCCACCCCCACCCCAGAGGCAGCCAGGTCTCAGGGCTCCCCCAAACAGCCCCCCCCGACCCCTTTGGGGGAACGACTCAGGGCAACAATTTCCCACGGGGCCCAGGACAAATCGCTGCAGGTACAGTGGGTGGGGAACCCCCCAAATCAGCGGAGATTTTAAATGGACATTTGAGGATTATGGAGAGAACAAGGGGGAATCGGGGGAGACCAGAGAGCTGATGATTGGAGGGGAAAGGGGGGAATCTCCCCGGATTTTAAACCCAGATGTGAGATACTGAGAGAGAAAAGGGGAAGAACGGAGGAAAGAATTTGTATCAGGGGGTGAGAGGCAAGTGGCACAAACAGGGACAGGACTCAATTAACTCCCCTCCTCCCCCCTTTTCTGGCTGCACAGAGACAGTTCAACCCCCAACCTGCCCCACGGATCTTCCCCTCCTGACACCCCCCCCCCCCAGCAAAGGGGGACCTCCCCTCACCGGGCTCTGTCCCCACCTGGATACCAGCTGCGCCCCTCCGAGCTCCGGGCTTTGTTCTCCCGGCTCCTGCCTCCTTCCTCCCGGCATCCACCGCTCCCAGCTGCTCCAGCCCCTTCCTGTGCCTGCAAACCCCACCCGGGCTGCGGCGCTCAGACCCGGCCCGAACCGCGATCGCTGGCCCGGAGCCGGAGCCGGTCCGCAGCCCGGGGAGCTGGGGCCAAAACATCTCTCAGCACCTCACCAGGAGCTGCTGGTCAGAGGAAGGGGAGGGACCGGGCTGTTTGCAAGTCCTGGCCTGGGCGCCAGGACGCCTGGGTTCTCTCCCCGGCTCTGGGAGGGGAGTGGGGGCTGGGAGCCAGGACTCCTGGGTTCTCTCCCCGGCTCTGGGAGGGAGTGGGGCTGGTGGGTTAGAGCAGGGGGGCTGGGAGCCAGGATGCCTGGGTTCTCTCCCCAGCTTGGGGAGGGGAGGGGAGGGGGGGCTGGTGGGTTAGAGCAGGGGGGCCTGGGAGCCAGGACTCCTGGGTTCTCTCTCCAGCTCTGGGATGGGAGGGGAGCGGGGGCTGGTGGATTAAAGCAGGGGACTAGGAGCCAGGATGGCTGGGTTCTAATCCTTGGTGTCTCACTCTGGGGGACGTTTGCCCCTCTGTGCCTCGGTTTCTCCTGAGTAACCTGAAGCTGATTACTGCTTCTCATGGGGTTGTGGGAAAAGCTGGGAAGCAGGGGGAGGGGCATCCTCCAATCTCCCCCACCATGGTTCTTCCTGATCCCTGTTGTGGCGAGGTGGCTGAGCTGTGCCACGGGCTGGGTGTCCCTGATCCGGCTAGAGGCCAGTGTGTACTTGCAGGGTCCTGTGGCAGGGAGTTCCCCAGGCTTGCGGCACCTCAGGTTCAGATCAGCGCCCCCAGTCCTGAGTCCCCCTCCTCAACCTGTGTGGGCGGCGAGACCCTCCTGCCTGACATCAGAAGCAGGGGTATGGCCCAGAGGTCCCTATGGCCAGGTGGGTGGGTGACACGAGGGTGGTGATTGGTTGTGGCCAGGGGATACCAGCCGCTCTCGGAGCTGGGAGTCCAGCACCAGCTGATTAGTGAGGAGGAGTGTGGCCGGAAGCAGCCCCTACTCATGGACCCCCCCCCCAGACACTCCCAGGACCCCTCCCCTGATACCTCCCTAGCCAGAGACCCCTGTAACCCTCACTTCCTGCCAGGGACCAGCCCCCAGGACCCTCCCCAGAAACTCCCCCCAAGAACTCCCCACTAGGACCTCCCGACCAGTCAGGGATCCCCACAGGAACCCCGCCATCCCACCTGCCTGGTAACCTCCCACCAGACCTTCACTGCCTGTCCGGGACCTCCGAAGGGACAGTCCCTCACTCCTGCCCCCCCAGCGGGACCCCACACACCCCCTGCCTAGGATCCCTGACCCAGCACCAGGGACCATCCTCCTCCGTGCTCTGGGCATGGCAGGGACCCTGGAGCCAGAGGGGGAAAAAGCCCAGAAAGACCCCCAGCCCCCGCTGGCCGGATACTGTAAAAACTCAGCAGCAAAAACAGGGGCCAGTGATATAACTTAGATAATTTTTTCACATCTTTACTACACTGAGCTGAATAGTCTGCTTCTATTTGACTTGGGGGGCTTGGCTCCCCCCCCAGTCCTCTCAGCACAGTCTCAATTCCCTAACCCTGGGAGGGGTTTAGGATAGTGGGAACGGGCCACTCCATGGTTCGCCTTGGGGCTACAGAGCTGATCCATGTGGCCTGCACCCCACACTGCAGAGGACGGGCAAACTCCCCAAGTTCCTGCCAATCTGACTTGGGGAAAAATTCCTTCCCCGCCCCACCTATGGTGATCAATTAGACCCTGAGCATGTGAGCAAAGACCAGGCAGTCAAGCACCACAGATACTGTAAATATTTGTACAGTCAGTGCCACTGCTTGGCTGACGAGGGCAATAGAGTTCAGCGTTCCATGACACCCATCCTTCCTAACTGAACAAATAATTTTCCGCGGGGTACCGGGACAGTATATTAGATCTACTGCACTTCCCTGAGTTTAAAAAGTCAGTTCTTTCCTCAACGAAGGAAATCAGGGTTGGTCCTGGCCCGGGTTTTGTTCCACACCTTCATTAAGGATCCAGTTGATGGGATGGACTGCACCCTCCGCAAGTTTGCAGTTGACACTAAGCTGGGGGAAGAGGTAGATAGGCTGGAGGGTAGGGATAGGGTCCAGAGTGACCTAGACAAATTGGAGGATTGGGCCAAAAGACATCGGATGAGGTTGAATAAGGACACGTGCAGAGTCCTGCACTTAGGACGGAAGAATCCCATGCACTGCTACAGGCTGGGGACCGAGTGGATAAGCAGCTGTTCTGCAGAAAAAGACCTGGGGATTATAGTGGATGAGAAGCTGGATATGAGTCAGCAGTGTGCCCTTGTGGCCAAGAAGGCTAACGGCATATTGAGCTGTATAAGTAGGGGCATTGCCAGCAGATGGAGGGAAGTGATTATTCCCCTCTATTTGGCACTGGTGAGGCCACATCTGGAGTATTGTGTCCAGTTTGGGGCCCCCATTACAGAAAGGATGTGGAAATATTGGCGAGTCCAATGGAGGGCAACGAAAATGATCAGGGGCGTGGGGCACATGACTTACGAGGTAGGGTTACCATATCTCATAAATAAAAAAAGAGGACCCTCCACGGGCCCTGGCCCCGCCCATTTCCCCACCCCCAGCCCTGCCCTAACTCCGTCCCTTCCCCACCCTAACTCCGCCCCCTCCTCCCTCCCACTCCCAGCCAGGGGGAAAGGGCTGCCCCAGCACTACCGGCTTCAGGGTTTGCCGGGCAGCCCCCAGACCCTGCACCCCCAGCCGGCACTTCCCCAGCGCAGCTGGAGCCCGGGAGGGGAAGTGCCCAGCCGGGGGCGCAGGGTCTGGAGGCTGCCCGGCAAACCGTGAAGCCGGTAGCGCTCGGGCTTTGGGCAGCTCCTATGGCTCCAGACCCTGCACCCCCAGCCGGGCACTTTCCCTCCCGGGCTCCGGCGGCGCAGGATCTGGAGGCACGGGGGCTGCCTGAAGCCGGTAGCGCTGGGGCAGCCTGGCTCTTAAACAGAGCCGAAGAGTCGGGGAGGAGCAGAGCCGCCATTTTCCCGGACACGTTCGGCTTTTTGGCAATTCCCCCCGGACGGGGGTTTGACGGCCGAAAAGCCGGACATGTCCGGGAAAAAGAGGACGTATGGTAACCCTATTACGAGGAGAGGCTGAGGGAACTGGGCTTATTTAGTCTGCAGAACAGAAGAGTGAGGGGGAATTTGATAGTAAGGGGGGTTCCAAAGAGGATGGATCTAGACTGTTCTCAGATGACAGAACAAGGAGCAATGGTCTCAAGTTGCAGTGGGGGAGGTCTAGGTTGGATATTAGGAAATGCTGTTTCACTAGGAGGGTGGTGAAGCACTGGAATGGGTTCTCTAGGGAGGTGGTGGAATCACCATCCTTAGAGGTGTTTAAGGCCCGGCTTGACAAAGCCCTGGCTGGGATGATTTAGTTGGGGATTGGTCCTGCTTTGAGCAGAGGGTGGCAGATAAAAAGACTGAAACCGAGTGGGCCCAGCAGGAGGCCAGGACCCAGACCATTGCCAGGACCGCCTTCACCCAGGAAACCCAGACAGACTGGGCCCAGCAGGAGGTTGGGGCCCTGGTGCGGGTAGAGCGGGTGGCTGTGGGGACCCAGACCCTGAGAGAGGAGGGCCGGGGGGACCCCGAATTGTGAGCACGGCTAGAGGCCGTGGAGTTGGCCTGCAGGAAGGCTGAAACCCAAACCTGGGAGATGTCCCGGGCCTGGGAGGCTGCTGAGAGAAGGTGGGCGAGCCTGGAGGGGAACTTTCTGGGAGTCCCGGCCAAGAGACCCCCCCTTCCTCCAGGGGTGGGGGCTTTGAGGGGGTGTGTGTGTAGCGGGGTGAGCACCCGCTCCAGCCCCGAAGGGGTTGGAAAAGCCCTGCTGAGGGCTGGGGCTGTGAAGGGGAGCAAAACCCTGGCTGACTGGGGGGAGTGGCTGCAGCTGGGGCCACGCCCCAAACTAAGTCACTGGGCCTTATAAGAAGGCCAGGGAAGCCAGAGTCAGAGTCTCTCTCTGACTGGAGAGGGAGACAGGCCTGGCTGTAGGGAACTCACCCAGGGGACCTAGAGTGAGGCAGGGCTGGGGAAAGGCCTTGGGGGCTGGGAAGCCCAGGCTGCAGGGCCTAGTCCTAGGCCCACCTAGGTATTGGGGTTGCAGAGGGGCAGCCGGAGGGTGGGTAAAGGCAGCCAGTCCAAACCCCTTGTTGCCTGTGATGAGCGGCTGATAGACTGCAGTCTGCTGCAGGGCGCGGGGGCTAGACGGTGACTGGCAGTAGCCATGACTGAGGAGATGTGGGGATAGGGGTTGGGGGTTCCCCTCGGGTGGGGGAAACCCAGTAAGACTGTGGGGTACTGCAGAAGGCAGAACCCTGAGATAAGGGGCACCGGGGTCCTGGGAGGGACATGGGGGGCCAACGGCAAGCGGATCACCAGCAAGCGGATCACCAGCCTGCAGACGGCGCTCCTGGGTTGAAGAGCTAATTCCCAAGGATGACCAGCAGGAGGCGCCGCAGGGGTGAGTCTGCGCTGTGCTACAGGGACAAAGGCTGTTTCCAGTGGGGTCCTGCACGGATTGGTTCTTGGCCCAATGCTATTTAATATTTTTATCAATGACCTGGAAGAAAACATAATCTCCTCACTGAGAAAGTTTGCGGATGACACAAAAATGGCGGGAGTGGAGACTGCAGTCCGGATTGCTTGATAAACTGGGTGCAAGCAAACAATATGCATATTAATACCTCTAAATGTAACTAGGAACAAGGACTGTCAGCGAGGGGGACTCTCTCCTGGGAAGCAGTGACTCTGAAAAAGATTTGGGGCCCAAATTCAGGAAGGACGTGGCTACGTTGGAGGGGAGTCAGAGATGAGCCGTGATGAAAGGATTCAAAAACCTACCTTAGCGTGAGAGACTTCAGGAATTCAATCTATTTAGCTTACCGAAGAAAAGGTTAAGGGGTGAGTTGATCACAATCTGGAAGTACCTACGTCAGGAGTGGGCAATAATTTTCGTACGGGGGCCACTCCATGAATTTTGGTATGTCGTCACAGGCCGCACATTTCTACTATATTAATGGAGCGGGTGCGGGGTCTGGGAGGGAGTTTAGGTGCAGGAGGGAGCTCTAGTTGGTGCAGAGTGTTGGGGTGCAGGAGAGGGTGAGGGGTGTGGGCACTGGGAGGGAGTTTGGTGCAGGAGGGGGCTCTGGGAGGGGGATCGGGGTGCAGGAGGGAGTGCAGGGTCTGGGAGGGAGTTTGGGTGGAGGAGCGGGTTCTGACCTGGGGCAGGGGGAGGGAATGCAAAGTTCAGGCTCTGGCCGGCAGGCGCTTACCACAGGCAGCTTCTGGCCAATGGGAGCTGTGAGGACAGTGCTGGGGGTAGAGGCAGCGCGTGAAGCCACTCCCCCCCCCCCAACACACACACACA